TCAGACATAAACCAAACCACTTCACTTCCCACTTTTAACAGTTCTAACCCCACCTTTTTAAGATTGGACACTTGACACGATACCTGACATAACATTAGATATTGGCAACGTTGTATTCCAAGGAGGCTACAATTAGCCGCTTCTCATTTATATCAAATTGGCTTTGACCAGCACCAGTCATTGTCACTGCCACTTGTCACAATCAATTTGACAGCAAACGTCAATTGCGAGAGCATAATTTCCAAGGCCCAAGCATGCGTTTTAGTAAGGAATTAAGGTAGAATTGAGCAAAATTTCATGTGATTAGATAGAATCTAATAGTTGATGGGGTTGTTTTAAGGATGCCGAGCCGAAACCAGGGTCACGTTGTGACGTCAATGCCCCAGGTTAGAATGTCAGGTGCTGCTAAGTTCACTTATGGGGTGCTGATGAGTGTGGTGATTGTGGGCCCCTTGATAGCAACAATCAGCTTCATCCCCTACATGCGAGACAAAAAAGGTGGCGGGTAAAAATCCGTACAATGAGTGTGTGTCCGGTTCGGGTGTGAATGTTGCAGTGAAATAAATCCTGATGGTAAATTAGTTTGGTGTTTTTCGTTCGAAAAAAAGCTTAATCTGGATCTAAAAATACGATTTTTTCGGGTGACAAGCAGGCAGCTTTGGCCTCAGCAAGCGCATAAGTTGGGAATCTCTCAGCTGTTCGCCTTATATCTTCCACACCCGCGCCGACACTTTAAGACAACTTCCTGTCGAGGCTTAAAAGAAATGTCTTTGATAGAAAAATTTACGCTAATGTAAATCTTAAGTAAATGTCAATTCGATGATGTATAGGGAGTAGATGATTCTGATCGTTGAAAATAACCGGGAATAAATGATTCGATTGAGATACAACGAGCAACTGGAGGCGATCGGGAACATGTTCGGTGCCAGTTGCCAAATGGGGTTTTGGTGTTCGCAGTGAAATTAGCTGGTCAAAGTTTCCGGTTTTTGGTAGGAAACGAAACCCCTTTAAGTGCAGCTAGAAGGTTTTTGGGCGGGTTTTGAAAAATTCAGGACTCAAAATAGGCTACAAGGTTGCTGTTAGCAGATAAGGAAACTTTGCTCTATCAATTCTGCTAGTTTCCATTTAGCCTCACTTTTCCTCCTTGCTTGGGAATTTTTTAAGTTCGCAGCGCTAAATTTGTGTTCATTTAGCCCTGCTAGTTTCAAGGTTCAAAGTGTCGTTTTATCGTCTATTTACCAGGTTTGCAGAATTTTTTTCATTAATTCGTGATTATAAACGGGGATTACGAAGAATGCTTTCAGAGAGGCAACATTCGTCTATTTTTCCTGGACTCGCCGATTCAGTTTCACTTTTACTCAATGTTTGGATTTTTTAAAGTTTGAGCTCTAAAAACGCTATTTTGCAAGAGAGTTTTTGAAAATGTTGTCACCCAAAATGTAGATTAAGCGAAAGTCTACATTCATCAGCATTAAATATATGTCGATCTGTTCTGTTAGTTCCTGCGAATTTCGATTTAGCCTCACTCAGTTTTCAGGGTTTTTTTATGTTTGAAACTTGAAAGTGCTGAGTTGCATCCAGCAGATTTGCAAGGGATTTTTTAAAAATTCGTGACTCTAACCAAGGAGGCTGCAGAAGGATATGCAGCGAAATATTTGATCTAAGTATTCTGCAAAGTTTGGTTTGTGCGATTTTTTTTGGAATTTTTTCGCGACTTAAAATATTGCTGCTTGCAGTTTGGTTTCCATCGGGTTTGCAAGAGATTTTTTAAAATTTCTTATCAAAAATTGCGATTTGCCAGAGGCGATGTCTGATTACTGCTGCATGGAAGAAACTGTACTCTATTTTTCCTGCAAATAGCGCTTTAGTCCCATTATTCGTCAATTTTTAGGAATTTTCATGTTTGAGAGCGGAAAATATAGTAGAGCTTCCAGCGTATTTATGACGGTTATTTACAAAAAATTCCCAGTCAATTCGGTCATTAGTCAGAGAGCCGTTTTGAGAACCGTTGAATAGAGCAAAGGTTGCTCTATTAATCCCGCAAGTGTCACTTTAGTCTCATTTTTCTTCAATTTATGAGATTTCATTAGGTTTCAAGCCTGAAATTTCAATTAGTCTCCATCGGATCTGCAAACGATTTAAAAAAAATTCGTGGCTCTAGACGAGCACTAGGAAGAATACTGGTTGCAGCATCACTGAATAGAGGCAACTTTGTGTCGGTAAAATTTTTCACCTCTAAATTTTTTTCCCAGTTTGAAGTCTGAAAGCGCTATTTCGTGTGTGCAGAGTTTCCAGGAGTTTTTTAATCAGCTTCCCAGAATGTGGACGAGTCAGCATCATTTAATAGATACAGATTTGTCCCACTTTCGATCAACTTTCAGGAGTTTTTTATGCATGAAGCTTTACAGGGCCGTTTTCCTTCTAACAAAATTCGTGGTTCTAAATGGGGACTAGAAAAAAGATTGCTTTTTGCATCCATCATTCCATAGAAGCAGTTTTGCGCTGTTAATTGCTTTTGCTGCCTTTTTGCTTGCTTTTTTGCCAAGAGTCGATTTGGTTCAACCAGTTTTGGTTTAAGCAGCATTTAATAGAGGAATTTTTCTCTATAAATAGAGGAAAGTTTTCCTGAAAGTTTCAATGTATGAAAATTTTTTAGTACAATTTTCGTTTTTTTTTAAGTCAGAGCTTACAGTTTGATTTCCAACAGGTTTGCAAGAAACCTTTTAAAAATTCAACACTCACAATGGGAACAAGGCCTGCTTTCAGCATCATCCATTAGAGGAAACTTTGATCTATTAATTCCGCTAGTTTCGATTGAGTTTTTTTGAGAATTAGAACTTTGAGTGCAGTCTGGCTTTCACCGCGTTTGCAGGAGATTTTTCAAAAATGCATGGCTTTTAATGGAGATCAGAAAGAACGTTGGTTTCAGCATAATTTAATACCAGAAATTCTGTTCTATTCGCCCTTCTAGTTTTTATTTATTCTTACTTTTTCAACGTTTGCTCAATTTTGAAGCTTCAAAGTGCAGTTTTGTCGTTTTTGGCCAGATGCTTAAGAGATTTTTCAATAATTCGTCATCGTAAACCATTATTGGTATATTTCCTGCGATTGCCGATTTAGTCATACTGCACTTACAAACTTACTTCATTTGTGCAAAAACTAACTGAAAGTCAGATTATATGCATTAACTCAAAGTTTTCTATGTTCTATGGTTTTTAACGGAAGTTTTACAGTTTTTACTCCAATTTTTATCGGCGTGAAAGCGTTTTGCATGAATTATTGATGTTTTTCGGCTATGAATTATATTCTGAATTAAACGTCTTTTTTTTTGAATTTGCATTAGGGATTGCTTAGATTTACAAATTAGAATTTTTTGTCGTATTTTTTCAACATAAAATGGCAAAATTTATCGATGATTACTTTATTATTTTTACCAAACTATTCGTGTTAGGGATTTTCAGGGTTTATTGCTATTTATTGTATTATTAGAGGATAGCACCTTAAAACGTTGCGTGTGATCCTGGCCAAACCATTTAGATTTCGGGCTGTTTTTTCTAAAGTAAAAAATGTATACAATTTTTTTTTATCATAGTTTAAGTCTTTTTGTTTTTAATTTAGCATACAAAAGTCGCCCCACGAATGGCGTTTGTTTATCTTTACCCGAGAAAGCAACTTTGTTTACGCTAAATATCCAAACCAGTTCGATTGCGGACTGAAAATGTCTACAAAATCGTCAGTAAGAAAAAAACCGAAATTGAAGAGCATAGCAATACAATGAGTCACCCAAAGGGTCAGCAAGCAAAAGATTAAATCATTATGGCAGTTCAGTAGCTTTTTTCAACATTAACTGGGCAGGATTTTGTCATGTAAAATAGGGGTGTTCTGCTGCGAACACACCTTTAATTTGCTGAAAATTTAAATTTTTTCTTAATTGAAAGTTAATAATACCTCAAAATCCAGAGTAAAGTGCCTAAAGGTAAGTGAATTTTATTTATCACTTTGTGATGGTCTCGTGGCTGGTGTTTTTAGAGGCTGCAAGTGGTCCAGACCAAAATGACAACTAGACTTCCGGATGTTAAAAATTTAAGCCCCTAAATGGCGAGTTTTATCAAGAAAAATCTGGTTTTTAGGGAATTTTATCGGTCTGGATGCGGACAGCATTTTATTTTGTAAAAATAGATGGCAATCAGGGTTGTAGTTTTTCTTTTATAGCATTTATGCTCCTCGCTTGTGCAGATTTGTGAACTGTATTGAGCAGATTTCCACTATACTTTTTGCGGATTTTAATTAGCGTTTTTTTTTTAATAGTAGCGGACTTTATGGACTGCTTGGTAAATTGTTGATCTATTATTTTCTTGCAGCTTTGAACTATTGATGTTTTAGTTTATCATTTAGGTACATAATCAGAATGTGCTAGCATACAATTTTATTCAGGTGAAACAGGTAACTTTTTAAAATGTTTCTGTTCAATAATAATAGCCCTTTCTTACAGCTTTGTTCATGTTTCAGAATATTTATTACTTCGTTAACATTTTTTTTAGGTACATCCAGTCTCTTTCTCTTAATTGTATCTATTTACCAATTACAGTTTTCCTACAGCTTCGTAATAAGCGGCATGTTTTTCAAGTCGTATGCATTGCGTTTTTAGATCGAAAATATAGAATTATTGCGGCTTTTATGGCAAGTTCGGCAGTTTTTCCTGCCTGCTAAATGTAGTATTAAAGTTTTCAAGTCGGAGTGAACTTCTATTGTGTGTTTAACTGTTGTGTGGACGGCTTGAGAATGAATGAGTAGAAAATGGAGGATGGAGCGCCAGCTTTCAGAAAGTTGGTAAGGGTTTTTTCTGATCAATAAATTCTCTTGTTTGGCTATTTACTAATTACGGTTTTCATACAGCTTCGCAATAAGCGGCGTGTTTTACAAGTCGTGTGAATCGCGTTTTTAGATCGAAAGTATAGAATAATTGCGGCCTTTAAGGCAAGTGCGGTAGTTTTGCCTGTCTGCTAAATGCAGTATTAAAGTTTTCAAGTCATAGTGGACTTCCATTATGTGTTTAACTGTTGTGTGGACTGCTTGAGAATGAATGACTAGAAAATGGAGAATGGGGCGCCAGCTTTCAGAAAGTTGGTAARGATTTTTTCTGATCAATAAATTCTTTTGTTTGACTATTTACTAATTACAGTTTTCCTACAGCTTCTCAATAAGYGGGCGTGTTTTWCAAGTCGTGTGAATYGCGTTTTTAGATCGAAAGTATAGAATWATTGYGGMCTTTAAGGCAAGTGCGGTAGTTTTTCMTGTCTGMTAAATGCAGTATTAAAGTTTTMMAGTCRGAGTGGACTTCCATTRYGTGTTTAACTGTTGTGTGGACTGCTTGAGAATGAATGGGTARAAAATGGAGGATGGRGCGCCAGCTTKCAGAAAGTTGGTAAGGATTTTATCTGATCAATAAATTCTCTTGTTTGAACTGAGTTTGRTTTTTCGAAAAGAACTRAAGTTTTATGCCTTYATTACATGCTGCAGTACTAAACAGTTTTTTTCTTTTTTTCCAGGTGGCGCGATGCAGCTTCCGGTAAGTTTTTCATTACTTTTCCSYTGGTTGCCATGTTAATATGTAGATCTTTAAGTCCRTTTTTKTGACTTGTATTTTATGATATTATTRCATTTAATATKTATTCGACGAAGAACGACGAGGGAGTTCTGGATAGGGCTTTTCAAAATGTTTCCTTTGATTTTTGCAGAAATAATTTAAAGTCACACTTCATACATTAACTAGGGTTTTTCAATGGCAGACGGTTTTTGTAAGAACTTTACACTCTCAATGTAAAATCAGTGTGGTTCTTCTGTAAACAGCACTTTTATAGACTTCTAAGGGATTTTGAATCAATTATTGGTGTCTTTCTCACGAATCCTTCACACAAAATTTGCATGAATTAGAGATCTGCTCCCAACACTGATCGATAGAGGACACTTTCCTCTATTAATTCTACGAGACCACATTTTCTTTCTTTTTGCGTTGATTCTTGAGAATTTATTCAGTTTGACCCGAAAAACTGCAGTTTGGCTTCCTTCTCGTTTACAAGAGGTTTTTTTAGAAATGTTCACTCATAACCAGGAAGAAGTAGAGATCATTGCAGCACTCAATAGAGGAGACTTTCTTATATTAAGTCTGCAAGTTTCGATTTCATGGCAATTTTCGTCACATTTTGAGAAAGTTTTCCAGTTCTACGCTTCAAAATCCATATTGGCATCATTTTAATGGTTTTTCAAAAAATTTTCACTGGCAATGAGGATGTGCTAGAAGCTGGGCTCAGCATCACGCAATAGGAAGATGTTGCTATATAAATTCTGCAAACTTTGATTTCGTCGCATTTTTCATTATTTTTGAGGTTTTTTTCAGTTTGACGCTTTAAAATGCACTATAAATTTCATCAGGTTTGCAACATTCTTTAAAAAAATTGTCTTTTGAAATCCGGATGAGTTCCAGAGCTGTTTTTAAAACCGGTCAATAAAGGAAACGTTGCTGCAAGTTTTGATTTTTTCTTAATTTTTGTATGAAATTAGTTGTGGAGTCGCTTGCAGTTTTCATTATTTTTTTTTGGTTTGATGCTTCAAGGTTGGCTTCCAGCAGATTGGTATGGATTCACTCAAATACTTCTTCAATTCTTGAGCATTTTTTTAAGTTTCACCCTTGAATTCCATGAAGTTCACTCACACGTTAACAAGCGAAATTTATTGGTGGATTTTTTCTCCGAGGTTTCCTCAAAAGCTTAAAAACGCAGATTGAAAGACGTTATCCGAAAAAACGTTCCCTTGTGGGGATTCGTGTCGTAGTCAATCACAGAACCGGATGCACAAATATCTTCTGACTTCCAGCCCTACTTAGCACTACGGCGGCTCTTTTACCGCCCCTCTTAAGGTATCAGCAACTAAACGCCCTATTTACTAAACAAGATATTTGCCTTAAACATGTGCCAACTCCCCATTAATCAACGGATTAGTCAGGGGCGTAACGTACAATCTGACTAGATTTTCACAGCTCGGGTAGTCAAGCCATAAGGCAGCCTAGGAAGTTAATGATGTTTTGCCAGCAGAAAAATTCGCATAATCTCTCCTGCAGGTCGTTGTGTAACCAGTATTTACTCTGCCTCATCCAAATGAGGTTAAATTTAAGTGTTATTCAAGGTGTTGCATCGTAAGACGCGAGGTGTTATAGCGCATTGACGCACAGAGTGCCACACAACGCAGTGCTGTACTAGTTTAGCCTAAAAGGAGATTTTGTGGAAAAATTAACTGATCCATCCGATGTTATTTCGTTCAAATGCACCAAATATGAGCGTTCGTTTGCATGATTGGCGGTTTCGAAACAGACAAAAGTCGATCGTTAACAAATAAAACGACCGTGCCCTAGTTTATTGTTCCGAAAACCACTGACACTGTTCCGTACATGCTGATACCACATTTTTTTTTCGATGTTTAATTTCCAGGCCTGATAAGTGACCCCAAATTACGTAACAGATCGTGCCATCGTTTCGGTTTATCTCTTCACCCGTAAATGCCTCCGACTACTAGTTGAACAATGCGCGGTGAAGAAGAACTGGGAATATCTTCGTTTCTTCACCAGTTGGCTTCATTGGCCGAAATAGCCCGAAAATAAAAATAGACAGCGCCAGTCATTCGACACTGTTTAAGAGATTAAACCGGGAATTTTCCTCAAATGTTATTTATCGCATTGTTTTTCCTCTGGAACGTTTCGATTGGCCACGGTGTGGAAAGATATATGCCTGAATCAAGTTGCTGGGAAGATGCGCGCATTCCTAATCGGCCGTCGTATGTTTCAATTTCATCGCCATAATTCACGAATTATTTCCCCTGTAAAAACATCTGTCGTTCTAAATAAAACAGACTTAAATTTGCTTCATTTCTAATTTATCTTCGATCATTCAGGGAGCGGTAAATTTACGCTAAAAATACATTAAATCCATAGACAACCAGACAATAAAATTAATTTTAAGAATGGGTTAAACAGTAGGTAACAATCAAGCTTGGAAAGTTAGATGTCAATCTTGTACAGTTGTGTTTTTTGGCTGCTGGCAAAGGAATCGATGATCTGGTGTAAAAACATCGTTATCTTCCAGTTTTTGATACTTTCCGAAAACAGTATCCATCATTTCAGGCTAATTTGCTTTACCGATTTGGTGTTTATGCGTTTTTCAAAATAGCGGTTTGATAAAACAGTCACGTAGAATGTTTCGGTTTTTATGGGTTTTTGCGTATTTTGGGCTTCAGGTTTTCGCTATTTTTTGTTTTTCTGTAATGATAAGCGATAGCGATGCAAGAGGTTAAGGATTTCTGACATCTTTAAGTGAACTCTACTTTTCCTTCAATTATCGAGTTTTTTCTAGTTTGGCGCTAAAAATGCTGATTTGCTTTCAACATTTTTAACAGTTTGTCTCTTAAACGGGCGTTAAGCTAAGTGGCTGTCTTCAGCACTATTTAATTTGTAGACTAATCTTTGCTCTAATTATTCAAGGGAGTGTCGCTCTAGTCCGACTTTTACACAATTTTCTAAAGATTTTTTCAAGTGTGAAGCTTTCACAGTACAGTTTCGCTTCCACCAAATTTGAAGGAGATTTTTCAAAAATG